GTATGTTTTTAATTATTTTTTAATTTGATATAATAGCAGAAGTTTAAGAGCGGGCGTGTACATCTTTGACTAAACTATCGGACAACTGATGTGCGACTGTCGATTGATTTTGCAGCCCATTCAACTGTTTTGTTGTACAACTAAAATCGAGTAGTGTACGCACCTTAAATTAAGGTTATAGGTATCAAAGCGAGACTAAACAGTTGTGCCATAATTTAGTCAAAGGTGTGCGCGATCATAGGATCCCAAGTGTTTAAAAATCGCACGGAAAGGGTTTATTATTTATGACTCTTTAAGTTATAATAATAATAGAGAGAATCGTCTTACGTAAGCTGAACATTTTGAAGATTTAAAAATGTGTACTTTATTATGAACATTTTTTACCAAAACGCTCTTATCTTACATAAAATTATTTACATTGTGTTTTGTTCACTTTGTTTAACGTGCTACGGAAATCTCTGGAGCAATTTAATAAATGCTCATATCATACCCAAACTAAACAGATGTAAACAACTATTGTTATCTCTGTCATTCTCCTTAAAAGAATAGAGATAGCGATATGTTTTGTACAATGTTTCGGTGGAGGAAACTGATAGTCTGTTGTTTGTACAGGATGCTCATTACTTGCGGGAGTTGGATGTCTCTAGCAACGCGCTGGAAGGTCCCCTGGGCGCGGGCTCGTTGCCGACGCTGGCCTACCTCACTACATTACATCTATCAGACAATACCTTCGCTAGTATACGCCGTGGGGCATTGGCAGGTGAATGCAATTTAAATACATTGATAACGACGTCATAAATCAGTAGTGCATTTAAAATGCCTATTTTTACAGTTATTTTAAAGCTTTTGCCTTCGATTTTATGTAAGTAAATTAAAGATTGATATTAACTTTAGAATATTTTGCAAATTATGTTCAAAAGTACATTTTTAGCTTTAACAGTATGAGAGAGGAAGGGATTTTAATTATGACGTCGAGGATATTTCAATTAAGAAGTACTAAAGAGCTTAATGTAAAGAATTATGAGTTATACAATTTGTTACAAAAATGAAATTAATAAACAAAATTACATTCGCAGGGCTCACAAATCTGACTCACTTGAATCTTCACAATAATCAGGTTGATGTATTGGAGGACTACGCGTTCAGACATCTCACCAATTTGACGCATTTAGATCTCTCCCATAATGAAATTGTAGCCGTCTCCGGTAAGAAATATTACAAAGAAAAATTGCTTGTCATACATTTCATATAATTTTACCTTTAACAGAATTTACATGTTTAGTTATGACACTAGAAATTACCATATTTATTTTTTTGCAAAAGGAACAAACGAGCCACCAATTCTGTGCATTTCAAAATGTCATCAAAAATGTAACCATTGAAACTCCTGTTTTTAAAGTTAAAGTTGTTAAAGACATTTAATAGGATTAACATAGATGAATTCCTTACATTAAAATATATTTTATTTTATATTCGAACTATTAACTATTATATTTTCACAGGCGCTTCGCTAGCTCAACTTACAAACTTAGTTCACTTGGACCTTTCGCACAACTTTCTGCGCTCACTTTCAGCGGAGCCATTAAAGGCTCTCCGGAAACTAACAGATTTACTTCTTCATGACAATGATATTGCTATGATAGACGACGGTGCTTTAACAATACACAAGGATTTGAGTCGTTTTACTATTGAAGGTATGTGTAACTTTACATCACTGTTTAATTCAATTACATTATATATTTTTTTTAATTGAAAGAATTAGTAGATTTTTGTTAATTTACTAAAATTTCCTTTAACCACTCCAAGTAAGCTCTAGGTTTGTGCTAGGTTATGGTTCACAATAGTATAATTGCAGAATTCGAACCCTCGACCGCAAGATCGGTAGTCCGTACCCCAAACCATTAGGCTATTGGCTCTTACATTAAAATCCAAATTTAGTTATTTATTTACTTAAAAACTAATAAATTAAAACTGATACAGAGATGCATATAGCAAAGTGAAACTACGTTATCTAACATGTATTTACATAAAACGATCGAATTATCATTTTCGAATTCGAATTCGAAATATCTATAGCTTAGTTACTAATAGGTGTGATAAATATCCCTTCCATTGCAGATAATCCTCTCAATTGCGACTGCTTAATGGCGGGCTTTGCGAGGTGGTTGCGGGAAGCAAAAAACCTATCCCAATCTGACAAATCCGCGGCGATCTGCGCCACACCACCTCATTTAGAAGGAGCACTGCTGTCCAGACTATCGAAAAACAAACTATGTGATGATTACGAACATATAGAACCAAAGAAAGATGATGTAAATTATGATTATAATAAAATATATAATGTTGATGTACGGGATAAACTAAACGTTGTTGATGAAACTGCTGTTGATGGGGATATTTATATAGATAAAGCGGAAGGTCTAGATGATGATATATATGATGAAGAATTAGAAGTACCAGGAGAAGAGGATTTGCCAATATCTAAGACAAAAGTAAGTTTGTTATAGTAATAACAAAAGCGGGCGCACAAGTTTGACTAAAATATTGCACAACTATTGTGCGATTGTCGATTGTTTTGCAGCCAATTCAACTGTTTAGTTGCACAAATAAAAATCGAATAGTGTAACCTCCATGGAAGCACACAGGAATCAAAGCGAGACTAAATCGTTTTGTGATAGGTTAGTTTAAGATGTCCGCACGCTCTTAATTTTATTGAAAGACCTTGTTTTTATTTAGAAACGTTTTTTAGTTTAAGTTAAATTTAATTCAAATTTCGTAAAACAAAATTGCCATGGCTATTTTAGTCGATTTCCCAAAAGCATTTTTGTCAAAAATATTCAAAACCGTTGTGAAATATTTCTCATTGCTGCAGTTTTCCGCAAAATTACATCAAATCGGCTTGCTATTCAAATTCGTTTGGTTGGAAATACAATCTACTGAAACTCAATATACTCGATTTACATATTTTCAGATAGTTTGGTTATTAGTTTAGTTCAAAAAGTAAAGTAAAAATTTACGAACACAAAGTCATTACAATTTTAAACCGATGATACTAGGAGATCATGAATATCAAAGAGTATTAAGAGTTTATCTTATAGGTGCGGTTAGAAGACGCCTGGTATGATAAGGAAGAAGTACATCTATCGTGGTCGTTGGACCCACCTTCGAGCCGTCGGTTTCGATGTACTGGGGTCACAGCGTCACGAGGAGGCAGTCTGCCCAAGCATGTCGCTTGTCATAGAGCGTCACCTGCTAACGTTGTTCTACGAGGTTTCAAAATTGATCCTCTTGAACATTATACGTGAGTATTTTAGTTTTTTTACTTTTGTTTTTGAAAACATTTTAACAGCTTGCTTAGACTAGTAAAGTCAAAGGCTATTGCAACCTTTTTTCATGGAATTTGGTTATCCTTTTTGGGATTCCTTTGGCCAATGAATTATATTTTTTTTAATTAATAATTTCAGTTTTTGTATCGCATTAGAAGAAATGGACAATAAAGATATACCGATGGCTCTAGTTTTGGGATGCGGTGTGCCCCAACTTGTTAGACAACGTGCTGAGTATATAACTGTTGCAAGCTTGCCAGTCACCACCCCTCCAGCTAGACCTGCGTTCAGGTAAGATTGTACCAGATTTTGAACTCTAATTCTTATGTCACAAAACCTCAAATAGATTATCCTTTCAATGGATTTAATTCCTGAAAAGACTGACAACGTCTATTTGATGACCATCTCTAAAACAAACTCTTGGACTAATACTGGAGTTCTTTAGAATAATGTCAAATTTCTTTTTCAGAGTTTCTGAAGTACGATCTAACGTTACGAGTGACGGAGTTCTCACTGTATTAATATCAGTCATGGGTTTACCTGCACCACGCTCACCTTTCGTATTACCTCGTTCACAAAGACTTTCTACTCCTGACAATAGATATCTAGCTATTGGTAATTGTTATGTGATTCTCGCTGTTTTATCAAAAGGATCATTAGTAGCTCAAAAAGATACACCATGTCAGAGTACTTTAGAAGTATCAATGGAAGGTTTTGTTAGAGGACCATACGAAGTCTGTGCGAAGATTTCAAAGAATAAACTAGATGAAATACGACCGATTTGTGTTGTGCCACAATTACAAGAGCCGCTAGGCTCTTTGGAAATCAAATCCGGAATGAAGGGATTGAATTCGGCTTTAGTTGGTGTGGCTCTAAGTTTAACGGTTATTGTTATTTGTCTGATATGGTTTGTTAGAAAGGTGTTGAAGAAACCAGCGAACTTTGAACCACATCGATGCTTTAGACAGGAACCTGTAGCAGAGGAAAATGTTCGAGCTAGTTATGTGATGTTAACGGCTACTTCTAAAGTTTAGATTGTTTTCGTTTTAAGTCATGCCATATAAAATTAATTTACTAGTCTTTTTTAGTTAGACTTATTTATGTGAAAACAAGCATACTTTGCTTAGAGCATTAAAAAGGGTTCTTTAACAAGGAACATCTTAAAAATTAGTAACGTTTTGTAAATATTACTACTTACTTTATATGATAAAATTGTTATTGTGTAAACAGGAGATATGCGTATTAAAAATCAGAAAATCAAATGTAATCGAACTAATACATTATTATTTAGATAACTATTAATGAATCCCAGAGTACAATTACAGAAAGAAAACTGTAAAAAGTTATAATTTTTTCCTTTATTTTTAACCTTGGTTTTCTTTGAACCCATTCTTCAGTTACGTCTTTAGATTATATTATATCAACAACATAGAATATTTTTTTAATAATTGGGTAAAAATCATCTAAATATCATCTACCTGATTTTATAATGTTCCTGCTTCACAACAATAATTTTAAACAATCAATGTATTACTCCAATTGCCTTCTTTAGTTTTATACAAATAATAATGGATACAAAATGATTTGTTGATAATTAGGTTTTCGTAGAAACACGTTCACGAGATAATGGTCTCGGCGATTTTCCCGGAACGTAATTTAAACTCATCACCTCTGTGAACTTTGATAAGAAATAAACGTATTAATATAACAATTATTAATAATCTATCTTACACTATAAATTAAGTAACCTAATAATAACCACAAAAGGGATTTTCAATAATTAAATCATGTTATGAAATGCTTACAAAAATTGTACCTACTTCTGACTTATACTTCCAACTATATTTGCATTAAAACGCACACCTTTGACTAAACTATCGCAGAACTATTTAGTTTCGCTTTGATTTCTATGAGCTTATATGGAGGGAACACTACTCGATTTTTAGTTATGCTAAAACAGTTGAGTTAGCTGCGAAACAATCGACAATCGAACAGTCTGTAATAATTTAATCAAAGGTGTGCGCTCGCAATTAATGTTTTTTTTATTATTTTATTTTATAGTATTGTGCTTGCCAGGGTTATACTTTCTTGTAATTTTTAAACGATTCCTTAAAATGTAATTGTATGCGAAATTCGATTTGTAATTTTTGTGTACAGCTTTTGTTTTTTATTTTACGTAGTTGTAAAATTATGGCTAACATGTTGACAGTGTTATTCAAATGCTTTAAGGCGTTTTGTTTTTGGTTACTTAAGTCGGTTAATACTTTTCTACTACAAAACTATATAAGTTTTGTCTATTACGATGTCATAAACATTTTTCTGGCACCTGTATATTGTGATAATAGCTGGCATGTATCAACTACCTTACAATCCACTACCCTATTAGCAAACATGTCTATTCCCGCCCTTATATTATGTTATATGTTCTAGAAGTAAGTTATTTATGAATTAATTGTTTTTTTTATACTGTATACATTTAAAACTACTAATTTAATTAAAAATTAACTATGGTAATCAGAATGACTGATTTTTAATGTTTTTTTGGGATGTTTGACTAACAAAAATCTTCTATGAAGATTTTAAACTAAGTTTATTAATATTAACACGAGGCTGATTAGCGAAACAGATTGTTAATGACGAAGTCGTTGCGAGTTAGTTTTTATGTTTGCGTTTTGTTAACACTAAGGTTAAATAAGCAAATTATTTAATGAGTACTGTATTGAGGTTGTCAAATATCTTGGTGGCTCGAGATATCGTACGAAT